ATTTGAAAGTAGTTGCCATGTTTCATATTTTCTGACTGGACAGTGTGTTTACTTGCATCTTGGTTTTTAGTTGGACAGTAGCTCTGAAGTAGAGGAGGCTGGATTTATTCACATTAGCCTTCCATGACAAGCAGGAAGATTCCTGGGTAGTATTGAATGGGGTGACTGCAAAATGACTGGAAAATTGTTTCTCCCTTAAGGACGCCTCTGAGTAGCAAACACTTATTGCGAGACTTCTGAATTAGATGAGTATAATCAGTATAAAGAGAAAGAAGGAAAACAAAGATTTTTAATGCATTTTTTCATAGAGTTGGTGTTTCTTTCTGCCATCCGTATCCTCCCATCTCAACACTTACCTCTCTTGCTTTGTCTTTAGTAGAGTACCTTTGTACACCCTTTCCTGTCCCCGGTATTCATAATCTCTTGGGAATTTTGGTTTTGTGTGTATGGTGCTAGGCCTCAGACTCATGGTCTGAAGCATGCTAAGCACATTCCCTACCCCTGAACTACACCTCCAGCCCTATCTTGAGGCTTTTCAAGGAAGTCATATTGCAACTAATCTGGAAATGAACACACACCCTTCATTGTCAAGGTCGATAAGCAGTTAGCAGGGGAGGAGGAAGTTTGGCATTATTGGCTTGGAAATGTAGAATAAAAGTTCTGAGAAGCAAATTCCAGGTTACAACAGGCTCTTCCTTGTAGGGATCTAGCATTATAGAACATTTTAATGAGATAATCCAGAAAAATGCATTAAACACAGTCCTTGGCCTACATAGGGTTCAATAAGTGTTCATCTCCCTACTGCTTCCTGTCTTTCCTTAGTTCTTTTTACTAAGCAGCTCACTGTTTGATGAGAAACAACCATTGTTTGTTTTCCTTGGCTAACTGGGAGGCTCTCTGCTGTTTTTGATAAAGATTTTGGTAAAGCAAAGTGGTTAATTTGGTCATTTTTGTTTCCTTTTATTTATCTCCTGTGTTTTGGTATAACGAGGATTTAGTATAGCTGTTAATACAACGTAAATCTTCAATTTTATTACCCACCCATCAGCAAACTAGCTTTTGCGAAAATTGAAGCTAAAAGTTATTTGATAAATGTTCCGTCCTCCTCAATAGTGAAAACTGGCCTGAAAATCATTTTTCAAGGAGCTTTTTCCAAAGGTTTCGAGTTCCTTCAAGCCTTTAAGAAGTTGGAAATGTTATTAAGCATTTTGATTTCTTTTCCTTTCATCTCCTGTTTAGAAATTAATGTCTTGAAAAATTGGCTGCAAATGTTAAGGTTTTTTAAAGATATGAAATCTATTCATCTGTCTAATACAACTGCAACATATTAAAAAGCATTGGTTCTTTGCTAGACATCTTGGCCAGTCTTGGAAAGATTTTTGTCTTTACGTTCTAGACCTTTAGATGCCTTCTATTTTCCTTTTTAGCACTTGGAAAACAAAGCCCTTCAATAATTTTCTCAAATGAAAATTTCAACATGCATTCAGTCTCTGCTCCTTGTAAGGGACTGCAAGATAGCAAGGCCTGGTCCCATTCCTATGTTTCATAAAGAGAGATGGTAGGTGAAAAGGTAATTTAAACAATTGCAGAACGGCCCTCGGATTTCCTGTTTCTTCCCTCTAGTTTGTCTCTTCTTTTCCCTGCAGAATGCATCAGTGTCCATTCTAAAAGGTCCTCTAGGTTCATATTCTTTTTTGTGGATCATTGTTGCATACAACTTTGTGTAACACTGCAGTTCAGGAGCAGCCCCTATATGTCTGCATATGGGTGTACATATGGTCGATTTTAGCTTTAGCTTCAAATTTCCTTGAATACGTAGACTGTGTGTATTCCCATAATGGTAGCTGAGCAATTTCTTTGCTATGGCTCAATTTCTTTCTCTCCTTCTGCATTTCCATCTCCTTTCCCTCTATATAGTAGTAACTTTCCTAAAAGGCTCATTAAAAAAAAATCCATAACACGCATGCAAGCAGGAGCCAGGAAATTTAAGTTTATATAACAGTCCCATCCCATTTGGCTGTTTGGCTGAAGCTGGCTGTGTAAAGAGAATGGAATGTGGTGTTGTGATTGCCTTGCTGATGTGTGCGCACTGCTCCAGCATGAGCCTCACCATCCACTTCTACTCATCGACTGCCAGGATGTGCTGGGTGCCGTGGAACAGCACAACCACAGCCTTCAGTTGAGACATACAATCTACATGGAAATGGACCAGGCAGTCTGAGCTGTGTGCTCTGCTTCATCTGGCCACTTCTGTAGGCTCAATAGCCATTGTCAGAGGAATTATGTTGGACCCAGTATTTCAGTACAGTACCACCTCTGACTTCCAGAGGTCATTTTTTAAGACCCCCAAGGCTGCAAACATGTAACTTATTCACTTTGTGACACCACTTAGCTGAGCTACCTGGGCAGTTTTTCCTATAATAAAAGCAACAACCCAACTATCAATCTCCTTTGTGTTGGAGAGTAAGGCACTTAGGCATCTTTAATGTGGCCAAGGGTACAGGTTAAGTGTCAAAATGATTAACTAATTGGCAGTTGGTTTCTTTTACAAGGACTATTCATGGAGATTGTATTTCAGTTATACTTAAAATACAGTGGTTAAAAGGAAAGATATGGTCTCTATTTTCATGAAGTCCTGTGTGGTACTACGGATGCAGACATTGAACAATAAAGAAACCATTAATTATTTAATTACAACTGGGCATAGAGCTACAAAGGAGAAATAGAAATAGCTGCATTCCATGACAGCAACTAATAAGATGTATGATTTCATCTCAAGTCTCAGAAAGGAAATGAGTGCTAAGCTTAATGTAATTCTAGGAAGTGTATGCAAGGGGCTTGGGGTGCAGTATGAGAAGGGTATTCCAGGAAGCACTAGAATGGTTTGTGCAAAGACCTTGGTGAGGAAGGAACGTGGTATATACCGGGGTCCAAAGGAGGCTCAGTGTGGCTGGAAACCAGTCAAGGAAAGAATGGACTGGGGAGATAGTTCTGGATCATGCTAGGCCTGCCTACCAGGTCTGTTAATGATTTATGCTTTTTGTTAAAAGTTATAAGAAGCCATTGAAATGTTTTTGATAGTAATTGACATGATTAAATTCCTGTTTCCCTAGTAAAGACTATTCTGACAGCAATAGCAGAACAGACTGGAAGAAAGAAAAGGTGGACGCTGGGATCTAAGCTACAGGGTTGTTACACTAGTCCAGAAAGAAAATCTGGCAGCTTGGCTTAGGGGAGTGGGAATAAAGGAAACAGACTAGAAGGTGATTGAGGAGATTAAACTCAAGAGGACCTAGTGACTGGACATGTGAAGGAGACAAGGAGAAATCAGATATGTTTAAAGGAGGTGCTCAGATTATTGTCCTGAATAGCTGTCTAGATGGTGTTAACTTCACTGGTGCAAGGGCCTATGAAAGGGACCAGTTGAAGAGAGGGGCAGCTGGAGAGCCTGGTTTGGTAAGGCTGGTCCAGTTTGAGATGCCTGGGGGTTGGCCAGCCTGAGATGTCAAGTAGATAGCTGACTGAGTCTGAAGCCCAGACTCTGAAAATAGAGACCAGAGTATTGCGTATGTAAAATATGGCCAAGCACAGATGAGCCGTCCATCCAGGAGGTATGGAGTCTGTGTTCAGTCACATTTCATGAGTGTTCATCACGTGCTCCCTATCTGCCATTTGCTAAATATCTGGCACATGAAAAGGAAAAGCATTCAATAGGTATTGTAGGATGTCTCTTTACTCCAAGCCTAAATTACCTTTCCTACCATCCAAGAATGGAGACTCTCAGTGCATCCAGGGAGAACTCTTAGACAGGTGAAGTCTATGTTTGGTCCTGTGTTTCCTGGTCTTTGCTTCAGTTAACTGAATGCTGTGCAAACTTAAGTTCATTTTATTCTCCTTTGGCCTTGCTAGACATAGACTAGTTGGTAAACACATCCTTGTTCTCAACTCCATGTGTTCTTAAAACCCTTCTCCCAGTTTTGAGAGACACTATCACCATTGGCTTTGCCACCTTAGAGCAAGAGCTGCAGGATTGCTTCTTACACTGAGAAAGAGAATGCATCTTTTTTTTTTTTTTTTTAAGGTAATCTGTCTTCAGGCTACAAAATATTCTTCCCATATTTTGTGAGTTACAACTTGCTGATGACTTTCAGATGATGATGATATTGACTTCAATTGTGAAAATTAGGCCACACCCCTCTAGTCTTTTCCTAAAATAAGACCAGATCTATTGGAAAAGTGAAATTTATAGCCTCTTTTATTTAGCTCTCACTCTTCAGAGACTCATGGCTTAAAATGGCCTACATTTTAAGACTACATTTCTCAAATTATTGTCTTTAGACCACTTGGATCAGATTCACTGGGATGTGCTTGTTATAAATGAAGATTGCTGAACCTTGTCTTACAATTTCTTTTTTTATTGTTCAGGTGGGATAGACCCCAATAGCTTGTATTTTAAACAAGGACCCCAAGTCATTTTTTGTGTACTAGAATTTAAGAACCATTTTTTAAGAATGTTAAAATTTGTACAACACCTTATTACAATTCTGAGTTGGTAAGAAATTAAATAGTTTTGCAAGCCAGGTCAGTATTGTAATATTTTTCAAGATTAATCATCAAGATATAAGTATTCAAACTTTTCACAGGTATTAGTCAGTTATCCATTGATAAAAAGAAAAGAAAAGATCTCATTGCACAAATTTCTTTCCCAGTACATGCAATTTTATGTAAGGAAAGGACCAAATGGATAGGGAAAGTAGGAAAGAATGGAGACACAGAAAAAGCATGCATGGGTGAGAGAGAAGAAATTGATACAGAAGAAAAGGAAAGTGAATTTGGATTCCATGGTAGTTTTTTCTTGGGCATGGTACATGGTTTGTTCCAGTTGGCATGCTCTGTGAGTTTCTCTTGTGCATGGTTGTACTTTACGGATGCTTCTAGAGGGGCATCCTCTTTGCTGTCTCCAGAACTAGCTAAAGTCTCTGCTTACATTGCCCCCATAGGAAGAGCGCCGCGTGATTTATGTTGGTAAAATCAGACCTGACACTACCCGGACAGAACTGAGGGACCGCTTTGAAGTTTTTGGTGAAATTGAGGAGTGCACAGTAAATCTGCGGGATGATGGGTGAGAATCTTCAAGATTATTTCTTGTTTAGAAGCTGACGTATGTAAAAAATTATGGCCCTAAGATTACTGGGATGGGAGTTGCCAGTGTAAGTGCTTTGACAGATGACATGTTGAGTTCAGAACCTTATTTATTTTCTTTCATCCCTATTTATTAATCTTTCTAGTTGAGATTTCCTGTCCCAGAAATAAGTATTTAGCTGCTTGACAGGACAATCACACTGATAAATGGATGCAGTAGCTCAGACGTTGGCCCCAGCAAAGTCTCCCAAAGTAGAAAGGGTTACAGTGCTGTATGCTAATGCTCCTTAACCAGTTTTGAATTTCTCTTCTTTGTCCACTGCAGAGACAGCTATGGTTTCATTACCTACCGCTACACCTGTGATGCTTTTGCTGCTCTTGAAAATGGATATACTTTGCGCAGGTCGAACGAAACTGACTTCCAGCTGTACTTTTGTGGACGCAAGCAATTTTTCAAGTCTAACTATGCAGACCTAGGTATGGATTTTATTGTACGTAGAGTGAGGAATCCATAATGTAGAGCTCAAAACGGAAGCAAACGTACTCTGCAGGCACTTTGGGTAGGAGCATCTCATCACTTTATTTTACTGGAGGGAATATTTGAATGAATTTTTTTTTTTAAATGTATGAAACAGTTTCAGAATCAAGGGGTCCCAGATTTTGGCAATAACTGGCAGAAATAAATTCTTGTACTAGCTGCATAGGTGCTTACACTGCACTGTGTATGTGTGTGTGTGTGTGTGTGTGTGTGTGTTTACATGTGTTGTGTGTGTGTTTGTAGTGTATAAAGTGCACACATGTGTCTTTTGTGTGGGTATGTTTGTGATCTGATTTTCCTTTCCATACCTACCCTGAATCCTTTTTGTAAACCTAGCAGTGCCATGTTTGTTTAATGGAACAGAATAGAAGAAAGTCCTATTCTCTCTTCCTTATTAATTCACAAACTCTGAAAAATATTCTTATTTTCTATGAATTGCAAGTTGAGAGGCAAAAGTGAAAGCTTCACAGGCTACATCACCCCACATTTACTTTCTTTGAAGTAGATAAGAAGATGAGCGCGTCCATGTGCTAGACACTGTGCCAGGGGCTTTGCAAGCATTTTCTCATTGAATTACCCCAGTTATTGTAGGGGGTGGATGATACCATTGTCATCCCCATTTCACAGTTGATGAGAAGGAAACAGATATTGTTTCCCTTGTGATAACAGTTGTATAGACTCAAGGGATAAAATTTGGAAAATATAAAAATTATTAAGAAGAAAAGTAAAATCCCCTATCAACCCATCTCCCAGAGATAACCACTATTACCCTCTGACTGTGTTGCTTTGCAGTGTTTTGTCTTGGAATGTCTACTTTCTTATGTTTGAGGATGTGATTCATAGGATTGATACTCTATCAACACATTTTAATGATCATGCAGTATTTTATTGGGCAAATAATACCATTGTATTTAATCATTCCATTCTAGAGACAGATTTATTCACTCTTTAGTTTTTTGATAATATAAATAATGCTACAGTGGACATCTTAATTTCCTTTCCAATTTTGATTTTCTTCTTTTGCCTGTCATTCCTTATCTCCTGTGCCTTTTGATTCCTTGAGGAAGGAGTGAAGGAAGGCAAATGCCTTGTGCATATAACGTAATTATTCAAAATTAATTTATTATAATCATAAAATTAGCATATGCATGTATTCCTCAGCATTACCAGACATCATTGCTATCGCTCCTGCGTGGTGTAAAGAGAGAAATGAATACCAAATACAAGGATTTCTTTTTTTCCCTTTCCACAAAGTGATGTCTTCTGGAGTAATTGATATTGGTGGTGTGCATTGTTCAGAGGGAATATGCTATAATTCACTTCACAAGCTAAATAGATAGTGTGGAGCAGGGGAGAGGCCGCTGACTGTTAGAGAGATGGAGGCCCAGGGATAAAAATATAAAACGTGGCAAGTCATTTGTTCAAATGTTGGCTGATAAAAACACTCAAGACAGATTGAAGCCTTGAGTTGATTTGACTTATTTCCTTCGGTGATGAAGGCCAGGGTGTTTCTGGTCTCTCAAAACATCTAGAGTTTAAAATAAGCTACCTAGAGGGGCCTTTAGATCACGATTCATCATGGTAGAGGGAGGATTGGATGGTATTTCCAAATTGAACTGGCACCTCCCTGAAATATTTCTGAGAAGCTTGCCTCCTCCCCTCCTCTCATCTCCCTGCCTAGCCAGCAGCAATAGAAACTTTGCCATTGCTAAGCTCATTCTGTATTTTCTTAGAGGTGTGTTTGATGTGCATTGTGGTGGCATGGGATTTTCCAATTCCCTCAAGCTCTCTGGTGGCAGGAGAGGTAGTTTTTCTGAGAGTAGGCATGGTGTAATCAAAAGATCCCTGCGTTGGAACCCTGCCAGCCTCGCTTTGAAACTTGCCTTACCACGGGTCTTGGGGAAATGATTCAACTCCATGAGCTCCTGGTTCTTCCTTGGTGAAATACCTTACCAATACTGTTGTGGAGGCTGTATTAAATAAAAGTTTGAGGAGCTGTTATCCCAGTGTCTGGCAGAACATAGGTGTTCAATAAATAGTAAACGTGATCATAATTTAAAATTATAGCGATGGGAAGTTAGAAATTTGGAGTTGTTTTAAAATGGAAGAATCAACACCAGGGCAAGCTTTAGAACTCTAAGAAATTCTCCCCAGGTGTCTTGTCTTTATTCCCTGAAGAATGCAAATTAAGTGCTTCAGGGAACACATGGGCACTGACTATGGTGAAAATGAAATACACTAGACTCTTAAAGGAATTGGGAATTTTTATGTATTTCAAGAATAAAGTGATGGTGATGAAATACAGATTAATTTTACCAAGACAGTAAAATGACCTATCATATTAGACAGGTTGGACCAATTTTTTGTTTTTATATGCTCCTCTAAGTAAAATTAGCTTACACATCCCATTTTTCTATTATTGAAACTAGTCAAACTAACAATATTTTTAAATAAGCAAAACATGATGATTTCAGCTACCATTCTTGAGCCCTTTCTATAAATAAGACTGAAGTTCAATGTGACTTGCTAGAGGCCACTCTGGTGAGGCCAGGATGTGAGACCTGATTTATAGGAATCTTCAGTATCTGTCTTTCTACCATTTGTCTTATAAGCAAATGGATCTTTCTAATACACCTTGATAAAAAATATTAAAGAGGAAAGACACAGAAAGTATACTGGGACTACAGGATCATAATAGAAGGATGAGTCAGTATTTTGAACGTAAAACTTTTGATCAGGAAGTAGTTATGTGTAATACTGATGTTCCAACATACAAGGAAAATGAAATAACACATCCATCATGAATTCCTTTTTAACCCAGAAGTGTCTGAAATTATTAGCATTTTGAATATATGCATAATTTTACATACATCCTCTCCATTTATTGGTAAATAATTCCCAGATCCCAATACAAATATTTTCAACCATGGTTTGAATAATATACAGGCTTTTGAGATTCATATATTCATTCAACAAACATTAATTTGAATACCTACCTAGTGTCCATGTTTACAAATGTGATGTGATTTGCTTCTGTTAATACAGTATCATTATTTATAATAATTCCTTTTGAAAAATAGAGTGGCTTTTAAGTTATTCCTAGAAAATTCTTCTCCTATCTTCTGAATTCCACCATCCTTCTGTTAGTGGGAGGAAAAGGGGCAAAGTGAATATTATTGTGTCAGAAATGTGACCACATTCTATTTCATGCAATAAGATAGATTTCTTTTTTTTGGGGGGGTGGTTACCTGTTGGGTGACATAGCATGATTGTACAACAGTATAGGTGTCAACACTTTCCAGTTAAGAAACTGTTGAAAATAAAAATACAGAAACACTGAAGTTCTGGTGTCACTTAGAATAATCCAAAGTTAGGAAATTTAATTATTCTCAAAATTCTCAAAATGAAGGAAGAGTATGTGTTCATGTTCTTGATGGCTTCAGGCTGCCTTTTGTCACATGAACCACCGTCTGGACAAATCACCCATCCTGATATAGTAGGCAAAAGGAGGCTGATCTCAAACCCCTTTGCACCAAATGACACTTTGTTTCTACAAAAAAAAAAAAAAAAAAAGTTGATTTGAACAACAGCTGCTCAGGAGGCCTTAGTAATCTAAGCAAACCATTCATTAGACCATGAAAGAGGACCATACCCAGTGTAATTTAAGAATTGAGTATTTGGGATATTACTGGGGAAAGATAGAACCTTTTTATCTTTGTTTTTATGTCTGTGCAAAACTGTGACTCTTGTTGTTCTTACCCAGACAATCTTGTGTGGAAACGTGAACAAGGGATGGTAAGAATGAAAGAAAAAGAAAAGTGAAGGAATTTCCTTGTCTTAAAATCTAAGCAAGTGAAAGTTAATGGAGGGGGTCGAGGGCAGCAGAAAATCAGCCTGGAGCTGGGGCACTTAGAGCACTGCAGTTCTTTCAGCAAAACAATTCTGTCAACGATTGCACTTCCATTTTATCTATTACGCTCTTCTATCACTTTGAGAATTTCTTTTGTAATTGACTTGGGAATGCTCATATTTTAGTAGAACTGTTAATGTGTTCCAGAAAGGTCTTGTTTTCCCTTCAAATTAATGTTTTTCAAATAATGAATGTATTTGTAAGAGGCTTTTTATTATACTTCCAAGCCAACCTTTCTCACTTGCAAAAGACCAGCAGGAAATATCTGACTTCTTTGTAGATGTCAATGGAGAAAAATTAGAACTATGTAACAGAATTGCATTTTACATTCCACACTGTGGAAGCACATCTGTTTTGTTAAGAGTTATTTGAAGGAACATGTGGAATTTTGCACAAAATCTGACTTGGGCTAGTTTAAGGTTCCAAGAGTTTGGTTCTATTTATAGCTGTATATTTGTTTCTATTAATGAGTAAAGAGGGTGAATGTACCCTCCAGGATCTGAAACATTTGTCTGGGTCCAATCTGGGGCGAGTTTGCACCTCTGCTGCTGCAATGCTTAGAGGTTCAGGGGTAGATGCAGGGGTTGACTATATGTCCTCCAAAAGGAGTATAGCAGGTTGGGAACCACGAGAAGTTCTGATGGTTATCTTTGTCCCACTTAACTGGCTTGTATGCTTAATGAGACTAACCCCTGTAAGGAGAACATTAGCTCCAGTTTGTACTGATTCTGCATCTAAGTTATTGAGAAGTCCTAAGCAAGTCACTTATGTCAGGGAAAAGAGGAGGATGGTTATCTATAAAACATAGGTATTAAGTGTGCCCTGCCTACCCTCTCAGAAGTGTTTCAATCTTAAAAAAAAAAAATCGATAGGTATATGTTTTTGGAACTTCATGGCTCCCTGCTCTGCATATATATATATGCATATATCCAATAACATCTGAGCATTGCTTTTATAAAGCATATTGATTGGCTAAATTGCAAGTGAATGGGATAATCTTGAATTGGGATGCTTGTGTTAATGGCTGCCAGCAAGGAGTGTATCTAACCTGGCTTGGGTTTCTTTCAGATTCAAACTCAGATGACTTTGACCCTGCTTCCACCAAGAGCAAGTATGACTCTCTGGATTTTGATAGTTTACTGAAAGAAGCTCAGAGAAGCTTGCGCAGGTAACATGTTACCTGGCTGAGGACGACAGAGATGGTGAATACCTCACGGGACAGCGCGCCCTTCCCTAACAGACTATTTCAAGTCATACTTATGAATTTCTCCTCCTTTACACTCTCTGTACAAAAACAAAACAGCAAAACAACAACAATACAACAAGAACAAGAACAACCACAACAACAATGGTTTACATGAGCAGAGCTGCTGAAGAAGCAAGAGACAGAGTGATATCTAGTAAGCACAAGTTTATTTATGGGTGTCAGCTTTGCTTTCCCCGGAGTCTCTTGGTGACTGTGTGTGTGTGTGTGTGTGTGTGTTCATGTGCGTGCGTGCGTGCATGCATGTGTATGGGTACGTGTGCACATGTGCACGCTTGGTTTGGGGGAAGTGTGTGTGTGTGTGTGCACCTGTGAGGACTAGGGGCACCTGACCAGAACGTGCAAGGGCAGACCACTTCAAATGGCAGCAGTTCCATGAAGACACACTTAAAACCTAGAACTTCAAAATGTTCACAATCTATTCAAAAGGAAAAAAGTATATATACACATATAAACATATAAATTTAAAAAGGAAAGAAAACTAATCAATCAACCACAAAACAACCCTAATACGACAGCTGCTGATGTCCAGGGCATTGGCCTCCGTACTCTGTTTTTTAAGAAAGTGCAAAATCAACTTGAAGCAAGCTTTCTCTCCTCACCTAATGATTATGTGACAATCCCGAAGAAACCACAGGTTCCGTAGAACTAACATCCTCTCTCTCTCTCTCTCTCTCTCTCTCTCTCTCTTTCTCTCTCTCTCTCTTTCTCTCTCTCTCTCTCTCTCTCTCTCTCCCCCCTCCCTCTTTCTCTCTTTCTCTTTCTCTTTTTCTTTCTCTCTCTCCCTTTTCTTTCTTTCTTTTCCCTTTTCCTTTTGCCATGGAATCTGGGTGGGAGAGGATGCTGCGGGCACCAGAATGCTAAACTTTCCTAACATTTTGAAGTTTCTGTAGTTCGTCCTTTGTCCTGACACCCATGTAAATGTCCAAAACGTTGATCTTCCACTGCAAATCTTAAAAGCCTTGTCAATGGTCAAGCGTGCAGCTCGTTCAGCAGTTCTTCCCAAGACGCGGACGCGGTGTTACATTACAAAGGAGAGTTGAGTAGAACTCTCTGGATGTGTTCAGATAGTGTAATCGCTACATTCTCTGATGTAGTTAAGTATTTACAGATGTTAAATGGAGTATTTTTATTTTATGTACATACTATACAACGATGTTCTTTTTTGTTACAGCTATGCACTGTATATGCAGCCTTCTTTTCGAAACTGCTAAATTTTTCTTAATCGAGAATATTCAAATGTAATTATGAGGTGAACCAATTATTGTACACTAACATATTTAGAAGCTGAACTTACTGCTTATATATATTTGATTGTAAAAAACAAAAAACAAAAAACAAAAGACAGTGTGTGTGTCCGTTGAGTGCAACTACAGAAAAAAAAATGACGCTTTACGCACATCCATCCCTCCTTTCTTAGGTGAGCTTCTATCTGAGCATCTTGTCAAAAACTATCCTAGTCCCCTCAAGGTATTAACCACTTCTGCGATATTTTTCCACATTTTCTTGTTGCTTGTTTTTCTTTGAAGTTTTATACACTGGATTTGTTAGGGGAATGAAATTTTCTCATCTAAAATTTTTCTAGAAGATATCATGATTTTATGTAAAGTCTCTCAATGGGTAACCATTAAGAAATGTTTTTATTTTCTCTATCAACAGTAGTTTTGAAAATAGAGGTCAAAAATCTTTTTAAAATGCTGTTCTGTTTTAATTTTTGTGATTTTAATTTGATACAAAATGCTGAGGTAATAATTACAGTATGATTTTTACAATAATTAATGTGTGTCTGAAGACTATCTTTGAAGCCAGTATCTCTTTCCCTTGGCAGAGTATGACGATGGTATTTATCTGTATTTTTTACAGTTATGCATCCTGTATAAATACTGATATTTCATTCCTTTGTTTACTAAAGAGACATATTTATCAGTTGCAGATAGCCTATTTATTATAAATTATGAGATGATAAAAATAATAAAGCCAGAAGAAATTCCCCTAGGATGCATGGCGGTTGTCAGGTGGGAGTGTAAACTCTTCATTGGGGAAACTCGCCTTTTGCAGAAGCAGTGTTTCTACTTGCACTAGCATGGCCTCTGACGTGACCATGATGTTGTTCTTGATGACATTGCTTCTGCTAAACTCAATAAAAAAAACTTCAGAAAAACCTCCATTTTGAGCATCAGGATTTCATCTGAGTGTGGAGTCCCTGGAATGGAATTCACTGACGTTTGGAGTGTGTATTCAAGTTTCTAAATTGAGATTCGATTACTGTTTGGCTCCCGTGACTTTTCTGGAAGATGTGACATACCTACTACTTAAGCGTTCTTTTCCTTTCTCTCGCCCAACACGATCTTATACAATGGGTCTCACCCCCAGGCCAATGCAGCGGATTTTGACGGCTGCAGTCATTTATCACCAGCATACTGTGTTCTGAGTGAATCCACTGTCTGTCCTGTCGGATGCTTGCTTGAGTTTTTGGCTTCTTATTTCTAAGTAGATAGAAAGCAATAAAAATACTATGACAACATAAAAGAACTTGTTCACAGGTTCTGCGTTACAACAGTAACACACCTTTAATCCGCCTAATTCTTGTTGTTCTGTAGGTTAAATGCAGGTATTTTAACTCTTTGTGAACGCCAAACTAAAGTTTACAGTCTTTCTTTTGGAATTTTGGGTATCTTCTGTTGTAGAATAATAATAAAAAAAAGACTATTAAGAGCAATAAATTATTTTTAAGAAATCGATATTTAGTAAATCCTATTATGTGTTTAAGGACCAGATGCGTTCTCTATTTTGCCTTTAAATTTTTGTGATCCAATTTTAAATACATTCTCTTTTTCGCCCTGGATTGTTGACATGAGTGAACTATTTGGTTTCTTTTCTCACTTATCAAGAGACAACACTACAGACTTCATGTTGAGGATTAATTTATCCCCTCCCCTCCAGTCTGACAAATATTGTCACCATGAAGATAGTTTTCCTCCATGGATGTCAAATCGCATCTCAAATTAGTGGAGCATTTGTACCTTATGCAGACACTGTGGGTAGCCCATCGAAACGTAAGGTGTGTTCCTTTTATTTTTATTTTTTTATTTTTTGGAGAGAATATTTCCAGTGAACACGTGCACCCCATCTTCACAGGAGGCAATTTCAGCATAGATCTGCAGGGTTTTTAGAAGACCCAGGCCATTGCCTTCATACTGTGGTAAGTACCACATCTACAATTTTGGTAACCGAACTGGTGCTTTAGAAAAGTGGGATTTTTTTTTTTTAAAGAGATGTAGCAGACTAATTCTTCCAGTGCACCCAAGTCAATTTTTGCTAAATGACTCCAGGAACACCAGTCGGGCTGTCAACATTCAAAGCAGCAGAGAGGGAACTTTGCACTATTGGGGTAGGACGTTTGGGTCAGTTGAAAAAGGAAACCTTTTCATGCCTTTAGATGTGAGCTTACAGTAGGTGATGATTCTGTGTCCTTCTTTGATGGCTGTAACGAGAACTTCAATCACTGTAGTCTAAGACCTGATCTATAGATGACCTAGAATAGCCATGTAATATAATGTGATGATTCTAAATTTGTACCTATGTGACAGACATTTTCAATAATGTGAACTGCTGATTTGAAAGAGCTACTTTAAGATTTGTAGGTGAAAGTGTAATACTGTTGGTTGAACTATGCTGAAGAGGGAAAGTGAGAGATTAGTTGAGCCCTTGCTGGGCTTTTTCTTCCACCTGCCAATTCTACATGTATTGTTGTGGTTTTATTCATTGTATGAAAATTCCTGTGATTTTTTTTTAATGTGCAGTACACATCAGCCTCACTGAGCTAATAAAGGGAAACGAATGTTTCAAATCTACTTTTGCTTTTCTTATTTATCGTAACCCAACTGCTGGCATACTTCTCAGATCAGTACACATTACTTGCTTATTATTATTCTGTTTCCTCTCTGGTTCTGTACCCCTTCTCCCTGCTTTTCCATATTCATGGATGCATTTCGGCTCTAAGGAAATGGGTGCCTCCTGTATTTTACCTTGTCTTCTTTCAAGCTGTAAAGGCAGTCGTGGTGATTTCTGTAATGAACGTTCGGAGGTGAAAAGTGACATGGGACTTTATCAAACCGATTAGCTCAGTTTTTGTTCTTAGCCCTGGAAAGTGTGTATTTTTAAGTAGAAGCCACTGTCCCTAGGGAGGGTCCTGTTAAATAGTCAGTGTAGGAAGTAATGTTCCTGTAGATGGACTGGATCTGACTCAAAGACGTATAATGAGATATAGCCCCTGTCATCTGTAAGTCATCTGTTTACCTATGGGATGAGCTGGTAATTGCTGATGTGTTTTCTTGTCAGGATGTCCGTTGTGCCTGGGGGTTTATGACAGGGTCATCAACCTGATGACAGGGAATCCGTTGTTAGCCTTTTGCCCTCCCCAATTTCAGATGGTCCTTGCCACTCTCAACCTCTTGCACTGCAAAATCTAGCATCAGCATAGCATTGGGGCAAGGGGGCTAAGTGTATCCTAGCCCTCTCCCAAAAGTCCCCTAGAAAGTAAAGAATGTTTATTGGTAAATATTGGAAATGGGATAGAGCTATCAAGAATGCTATCCAGCATCCAAATGAATGGATTGTCTCTGCTGAGGTTTTAGATTTTTATGTTAAGGAAGGGAGGAGGGGAGGGCATGGGTAATACTGAGGAAGGAAATTGACCAAATGATGGTATGTCCACCTACAAATATACAACAATGGATGCCCTATATAAAGATAGATAGATAATGCACTAATTAAAACAACAATAACAGAAGGGAGATCAATAGAGTAGAATAAGTGGATGAGGGAGGGAGGAAAAGTGAGAAAGGAAGGTACTGGGAAGGAGACTGGGTAAATGACGTTATGTGCATGTACTGCTATGGCACAATGGATCCCACTATCGCGTATAATTATAATGTGCCAATCAAAAGTCACAAGAAATACTTTTAAAAATGTGAAAACAACATTCAGAAGTGCTCCCTGTGGTGCTACTTCTATTTTATACCACTGATAAAATTTGTCAGTATTTTATCAATATAGAAAATGAAGTTACTATTATTTCAAATACTGTATTTATTGCCTTCACTTTGCTTAAATTATGTAGGGCTTCTTTCATCTTTTGATGGGAGGCAGCAAGGATATCAGAAGGATATCTTGCTTAAAGGGTTAACTTTCTGTTCTAATAAACGCTTTGAGGACAGAGAGAAAATAAGGAATTTTAAAAAGCAAGAAATAGCTACTAGTTTGGTACTGGAGTGTCCTGATTAAAGATAAAGGATTCATTTTATGTTGTCCCCAAAACGTTAAATCACTTCCATCCTTGATGATACTAATGGCAAAAATAATTACTGAAACCAAAAATAAGTGAACACTTGATATGATTAGTTTATTTAAAAGGAGCTTGTCTCATTTTAAAAGTCCTCCAAACTAAATCTCCCGAAACTATATACAATGTGTAATATTGAGTTGAAATTCTTTTTTCAGCCTTGCCAGTTCTCCCTTCTTTGTAGGGTTATTTAGCTAATCACTGGTTATAATTTACAGCCCTAATAATATTATTATACTCATTTGACACCAGTGTTACTAGCTACACAGTTGTAACTCAGTATTAATTATAGAATATTTTAACCAAAGCATACTTTTGGAAATATTTACTTTACATTAATCTCACATTTTCCAATTCTCCTTGCTATTCCTTGTTTTCAAACACACTAAACACCATTATAAATCAATCTTTGTACTTTATCAAACAGCAGAGAGTAATAAAGAAGGTCACAACTCATAGAGGAGTTCCTTGGAGGTTTGTAACATCATGATCTAAATCTCAGAAAGATTTAATCAAAAGCTGAATTAATCCCTGGGGGAAAAGATGCTGTAGAGATTCTATTGATGGGTACAAAGCAGCCTATTGCTTTAGACCGGTCTCAGTTAACATGTTGGAGAAAAGGAACAAAGTCTTTCTGTGAAAGGAAAAATATTATTTCCTTGGTGGGGGAAAAGATAATATGCAAAAACCTTCCTGGCGTGCTTCATCTCTGCCATGGCTGATTTTCTCCTACTAACTGTGGCATGATCTGCTTAAGTTAAATGTCCTCCACCTTCTCATTCCCCTCAATGTATCCCATGTGATTCCAGTAACTGTGCAGAATCCCCGGAGCTGCAGTCCAGTCAAGCATGTGGAATGTGTAGGTCTCACGGGCTGGTGTCCAGGTCCCTTCTGTGTAATCAGGTGACTGCCCCAGGGCACATTCCCAGCATTCAAGGACACTGAGAACTCGCAAGAAGAAGTGAACATAAAATTCAGGTATTTCCAGGACCAGGACGAGGTCCTACTGAAAAGCCCAGCATTGTTCCATGAGGAGAATGTGTGCTTGGGCAAAAGGCTGCCCACCTTCCCGCATGCCACCTTCACGTCCATAATTCCATAGGAATGTGACGAGGCTCCTTTCAGATCAGCACTCATTGCTCACCATGAGCACTCCTATAGATACGGCAGAGTGGAATTAATTAGTTGAAAAAAAAGTGAAAGAACTTTTAGAGGAGAAAACCAAATGATCCTATAATATTTTCATGATTAAATTAAATGAGCATAATTATACATGCACATATGCACACCCTGGCATTATTATAATCAAGAACCTTAAAATATTGTATTGTTTCAAATTTATGCATATAGCACTTAACTGAAGGCAAGTAGCTAGTGTGATATTTGAATTTGCATATTGACCATTTTCATATATTTTCATATATTAATTTTGAGTAGGAAGAAGCTAAATTATTAGCAAAAAATCCTGGGGTGATGGAGAAAAAATATTGTGCTTCTGCTGGTTTTTGAACATCAGGAACACTTAGCAACATCATCTTTTTTTTTTTTTCCACATAGTTTTCTGTGATGGATTTTCAACAAGATGACATCCAAGTGAAAGCTGAAATTAAATGGGAAGGAAAGAATGTTAAGTGGTAAAACCCTAAATAGCTTATTAGACTACTTAATTGGAAGGAATTTATTTTTGCTGCTGTTAGGAAGTCTATAGTCAAGCTTCTCTTTAACAATACTAATTGATGAAAAAAAAAAGTAGCTATCGTAATATAGTTACCGCACAATACCCTCCAGCAAGTCATTTAAGGAAATTCACAGGTACTTTCCTGTGATTGACTTTGGTGGTGTTGAAAACCCCCGTTCTGTTTCCATTTGTATCATTGCTTTCTCACTTCATTTCCAACCAGGTCCCTTTCTTATTCCTATCACAGTGCACTTAAAGGACTTACTTAATTCTTAAAAGAAAATGAAGCCGTGCTTATTCTTAGTGGAACCATTCACAGGTTTTTAGTTTGATCACTGCACCCTCTAATTAAATGTATGAGTAATGTTTCACAGGACTTAGAGATAGTGCCCTCTGTGAGCACTTCCCCATTTGATGGCAGGAATATGTGTATGGATCACAGAATGGGGGTAAATCACTCTGCATCCTAGAGAAGGGTAAGTTAGTGAACTGGTACACAGCATGTGATGTGGCCGTCTTACTTTCATGTCAGGTGACTTCATGATCACTTGCAATGCATGCACTCATTCTCCTCCACTTAGCTGGATTCATGGGAAAAGCATCCTTTCCAGGGTCAACCACATGAATCACAGTGTAAACCAACCACAGTTAGAGGGAAAGTGCAAATTGAAGTTCACCACCCATCGGTTGGCCTCAGCTTCTGGAGGATGGGACCTACCTGAGTGTTGGGCTGATATTTCCCATTTCCAGTGGCACGTTGGTAGCCCACAAGGGGAGTTCCTGTGCATGCACCTGATGAATGAATGAATTCATGGACACCCATAAGAGCTCCTTTGTCACATGGTGCCAGGGGCTCATAGAAACACTGCCTGCCATAGCACACCACGGCGAAGACTAAGAGTAAAAAGGTCACTTGAAGGGAAGAGAAGGTAGAAACAGAAGGTTAACCAAACAGACTTGAACTTCAGGTACAAAGCAAGGTTTGGACAAAGATTTCCCATGGTTTCCTTTTTGCCTTTTACGATGACACTATCAATGGGATTATATAAACAAAAGAGGCAACTGTCCAGCTAGGGCAGTGGAGCTGTGGAGAAGGAAACTTCTAGGGCTGGGCCCTGTGTGTGGGTGGTTCCCTGTCAGCTGTCAGCAGCTGGCCTTTGCCACCCTGGTGCTTGCTTGGAGGGGACGATTAAAATCCTGTTCACTGCCGTGCTGCTGGACTGACGGGAGGCCTGCAGGGATTTCCAAATCCTGGATTGTGGACAGAACTTTTCAACTTTAATTTTGTGGGATGATAAAAGCATGATCCTACTGCACAAATAAGAAAAGGCTCTTCATGTTTCAACAATGCTTTCAGGGAGGCCCCCTTTTTTCTTCTAATTGATACAATTTTAATACCTGAAAGTAGCTACTTGCTTCAAGGGGCATTCACAGGGTTTCAGCATTTCGAAGGTTAAATTTGAATTTCCTAAAAAGTCTTATCTGCTAGATACCATAGAGAATGGCATTGGGGAGATTTAAAGGCATTATTTGCTTTTCTTCTTTTCTTTTCTTTTTATTACAAACTGGGTTTTATCAATTCTTGTTAGAAACTTGATCAGTTTGCAGACTTTCTTTCTTGGAATCAGCTCTGAGACACTGCTGGGTATATGATTCCCAGAAATTAAGTCTCGAGAAACGATGTTCCTTAACTGACGCTTTTCCTTTATATCCCCATTTCAAAATAAGATGAATATTCCTGTTGCAGAAAGAAAATATAAAAAGTTACTGTCCAGTTGAAAATTCAGTTGACCCAAAGTGTTATGAAAGATGTGAAGAAAATGATAATTATG